CCCCCCTCCCCCCATCCACCACCCCCATGTCCATGGTCAATAGCCCAGCCGGACATTGGGTCTTGGGCCCTTAGGCCTTGCTGATGATGGGCACTGGGGGTGGAAGGAAGCAAAAGCCCATTCCCACACTTGCCGGTATTGACATTGACAGGGCAGGGGGGAGACCAGAAACAGGCCCGAGACAGGCCGCGCTCGTCCCCTTCCACATTCCCCCCCTCCCTTTCCACCACCCCCAGCCTCCCTTCCCCTCCCCACTCTCACCCATGCTCAACACGACGGAGCGAGAACCCTCTGACGAGATCCAATTCCCAACAAAGTGGAAAAGGAAGATGAATGGGTGTACGAAACCTAGATTCACCTGCCAAAATTTGCTTACTACAGCCCCTGAGAAGCTTGTTCGACGGACGTACATGGCAGTAAGATTCCTTGATTGCTTGCCCGTTCGCTCTGATTACTTACTTTTGGACTTGCTTGCGTCAGACAAACAGAACTGACTGATGGGCTGAAAAAAAGAGAGGGTCGATGTCGTTGGGTGCCCCACAAAAGACTGCCGAATATGTGTATGCCTTGTTTATGGCCCCCTAGATACCTGGCTGGCTGGGTGGGCTACTCCCATTTACCAGGAACATGCTGCTACAAATACTAGCCAATGGTTACGCGTAGATTGTCCAAGTCATGTCGTCCTTTCCCCGCACACTTGCGTGTCATTCGCTTCACTTGTTTTTCCTTCGCGTTCACTTTCTCTCTCTATCTCTGTTCTATCCTTAACATCTTACAGTGGGTCCAAGCGCAAGGGTTCTCTCGTCGGAACTGCGCGGCAGGGCCGAATGACAGCATCAGATTTGCTGATCTTCTTGGTAAAACTCAGTTCCGCGTAATCTGGCTGGGCTGACTTGAGCGGGGGTTGTGACGCGTACATTTGGCTGGGCCGATAGCAAAGGATATCAGGTGGGAGCGGAAGCGAAAAGAAAAAAGGGTAAAAACAATCAGCTTTGGGTAATTATCGCGTACCGGTATACCCGGCAATAAGGGTCGATCATAAATTAGAGTTGAGCCGTTGCATACCCAAAAGCCATCATGCTATTGAGACTGTTTAGTTTTTGTGGGTACTCGAGACGGGGGAGATGGAAGGGACTGGGTACATTGAGAAATGGACACGAATGCCTTAATGACAATCTTGTTTCGACACCTGAATTGTAAGAGAATGGAGCAGACGGAGCAGTGTTCCTCGAAGCCTAACAGGCTACGCGTAGAGATGCAGCAGTCTTCACAGCCCCAAGAATATGTCACTGTCACGCGTTGCCAAATGCCCTTTTCACCGAGCCGTTCATACAGCACGTCAAGATGAACAGGGTCACGCGCGTCTATGTCTGCTTCTGTTCGGGACCATGATTGCACCACGCTCGAGATTTGCTTCAAGTCTTTTGACGCGCATCCGGGGAACAACCCTGTATACAGTTGGACACGACAGTTGTGACTCCCGATGAATACCCAACGGGATTCTCGTACAGACGGAAGGAAAGATCGGACGATTTTCGATCCCGCACATGGTTAGGGGAACCCAGTCGAGCAAAGTTCCAGGTCGCCTATACCGGGCTGCTACCAGCAATATCCCAGTTTCCACCACTGAGCTGTTTTCTTCAGAGGGGTCAGGCGATTTTTTGCTTAGGCTGGCAATGCATTCCCCGATCGTGAAACGCGAGTTTGAGAACGTTCTCCGATATGTCAGTCAACGTTTGGTGAAACCTTAAAAATAGCCCTCCGCAAGGCTTGGTGCCGTCCGATTCATCTAATGTATCGCGTACTCTTGCGACTATGCGCAACCATTGGATGAGCCTATCTTTGCATATCCTGAGGATGCAACAGTCTCAGCATTGTGGCGGGAAACAGAGGTGAAGAGACTGTAGAAGAAAATATTTGGAATTACACTTTCCCAGCCACCTGTAATAAGTTTCGGAGGTGTTGTGGAGTGACTTTTGCCTTGCCCCCATTTGATTCGCTTGATGTATTGTTACACGCTATACGCGTGGGGCATAGAGTGCGGTGGCCGCAACCAGCGCTCCAAGTAGAAAGAGGACAAGGCGAAGATCACGTCTGTGAGACGTCCAAGCGATACGTGTGCTCTTGCAGGAGCATCAACTATAGCGCTTTGTCCTTTTGGCACAGGCCGCGGAATAGCTAGTGCTAGCCTGAGGATATATTGGTCTGATCCCGTTTACATGTACGTTTACATGTCGCGACTCGCGATACTACCCAGATAAGGTAATTCGCCAAGGACGGGATGATGACATGGGCTGCCGTAGTTTGAAACGGAAAAGGGAGGAGATTGAGGCTGCTGGGCGAGGTTACTCGACTCGAACAACGCAAGCGACTCGAGCAGCGCGCAAGTAGACATGGGCGAGTACAATTACTAAGGACGCATTCTAGAAGAGTGCTAGAAGGCCGCTAGTATCGTGAAACGCAGGCAGAGACCAGTTACCAGCACCGTTCGGGGTCGAGGACGAAGACAATATGATGTCAACTTGATTTAGGCATTGTTTGCGGAGAGCGCGCGATGCTTTCCACCAAAAGGCCCGAATGTAATGTGGTTCGAATCAGCCATGCGACGACGCATTCGATGAATTGCTTCTTGCAGGATCAGACAGGAGGGGCGCATGCAATGCGGCGTCGAGGGACACTGTGCGAAAAGAAACAACAATATCTTGACCAGTGGCAGTCGCGCATTGCCATCTTCTCGCCCAGAATCAGTGTAGAGGGCGTGATAGGCAGCCAAAAGAAAAGGAGGGCCGTATCGCAGTTTCCAATGGGGTGGTTGTAACATGTGAAAAATGCGCGAGTTCAGCATCCAGTCAATGGCGCACGACTAATCATGACGCGACGAGTTTCTAATATACGCTCCGGTATTAATCGTCAGAAGATTAGTAGCTGCTAAACGTTGTGATTGGTTGTTATGCCCAGCCTCGTTTACTGCCGTACACTGGGCAGGTAGTACATCTTCTTACCATTTTACAAAGCGTTTGTAGCGTCCATGTTGACATCTGCAAGGAATACCGCAGCAGAGCGAGTGTGATGGAAGAAGGATACGCAGGGATGGGTCTGGATGGCTGGTGGGCCGAGGCGGGCCAGATCCTGTTGTCGCAGCCTGCTGCAGCGACTCGGCAGCTAGCGCTTATTGACATCATTGAAAGGACGACTTGGCCTCGTCGATGACTTGCTGCAGCAATCAGCCCATGGCCAAATCTTCCCACTGCCACAAAGCGTCTGTTCGAATCCGTGGCGTCTGCCGGCGTGGTATGCACAGGGTATGTGCGGGAGACCAGCATGACCTTGTCGCAAGTCTGACATATCGGCTGGGATGGTACGGTCCACTTCGTCTCATGATTAAAGCCGGCATATGTCGAGCCAATCAGCCGCGTGGCGCTGCCTGTCAGAAATGCCGCTTATGCAGTAACGTTCGCAACTGAAAATTCGGCTCGAGGCATGGCCATTTCAAAGCAGAGTGAAGGTCTAGTCCATTTCGCACATGGCCCGCGAAATTGGAGCTCGTGTCATGACCTCTTCGTCTGATTACGCATGTACATACTGAGTATGTATCTACACATATAGTGACATGCCTACCTACGTGTTGACATATTGCAATACGCTGAGCATCGTACTCGGCATTCCCGTGCGAAACAAGCACCCCGGTCAGTAAGTGCGACTAGTCCTAGAAGTTGGGGGATCGGACACCCTCCCAGGCTGCAATGGCAACAACCCTCAAGGGGAAGCAGCGGGAAGCAAGGTCGAGGGGCCCAGGGGATCTTCGCTCCAGGTTCGTGGCTTGGGGTTTTGCGTTACCAAGATTAGTTGTTAAGCTGTTCTTTTTTTCCACAACGTGGTTTGTGACGAGTTGTCGCGCCGTCGCTGTTCATTCGTCTCTGCTGGTGCAAATATGATGAAGCGACAGAGGCCTAGATTTCTCACCATGGTCTACTACTGACTATCCTTGTTTACGCGACGGCGTCCGTGGGCAAAAAATCTCCCGTCACCGGATCGCATTATTGCAAACATTGTTGTGATGATGAGCTTACATACGTGTCGATCATTTGCCTAATGGACCGAGTCTAGGGTTTTTTGCTCGATAAGCAGTAAATCTCCCGATATGTATACACTGCGGCTGGGGCGATAGCCTTGGTTTTGGGGGGTTTCGAGCAAAGGACAGATAAGGCAGGTCTAAAGAATACTGTGCAATCCGGAGACGCACATAGTACATATGTACTTAGGTAAGTATGTACGGAGGGCGAATCGGGGAATGCGGTAGGCGCAGCGGGGTGTGGTGGTGGTGGTGGTGGTGGTGGTGTGTAGCGATTTTTCTCAGCCTTTTGCGCTAGACAGGAGGCCAACGGGACGAGTCGGATCCATGTGCGGCAGTATCGCACAGCTTGTCCATTGTGATCGTCGACCGTTATTGAGCAGGCCTGCACCCCTGCTTCCCGCGGGTGGACAACGGCCACGACCAGAGTCAGGTATGATCAAGCGTGCCCATGGCCTGTCAGCCATGTATCCGCACGGCAACGGCCAACCGAGCCTGCCAACGACGGGCATTGGACAAAGACCAGGCTGGCAGCTAGCGAGCGAGCGTTCGTTCGTTCTCGCAAACGTCACACAAGTAGGATTCGAGGATGCGGTGGGACAGGGGAGCAAGCGATGTGCACGAGTCGCTCGACAGGCCAAACCAGCTGACGGGCCCCCGACATGCATGCCGCCCGTCAGGCCATGGGCTTGCGCTACAGCGTGGAGGAACAGCGACGACTAACCGTCGCGAATGGACTATGAACAGAAAGCCGATGTAACACGGCATGCGTGCGCAAAAAGGTCGCTTACAAGATCGACACTGGACCTGCCAGATGTTGCGCGACTAGTGCAGGCGTGGCCGGCCGTCAATGCGTCGAGAGGCGCCGTGGCGGACCAAGTGTTGAGCGCGTTCAGGGAGATTTGGGTGTGCACAAGGTGAGGGTAATTATCGTCGTCGAGTGTAGAATGCGCAAGACGGCATCAGATTGACGCATCGGATCGAGCGCATACGCAGCCGCGCGCGCCAGCCGTGTGCACCGGCGGTGCAGTGGTATTGTGTAGTGCCCGACAAACAAGTTTGGAGCGGCGTTGGAATAGAGTTGATGGTCGCTCGGTACCTGACCTATCTCCCTGGTCGTGAGCAAGGCCAGCAAGCATGCTCCCAGGGTTTCTCCGCACTGCGAACGCCTCGCTCGGAACATTTACGAACCCAGGTCCCATGTCCGCGATCGCGACAGGGAGGGGTTGCTCACGACATGGGACGGCGCGCGCAGTGTTTACCATGGAAGCCGTTCTCGAAGCCTGTCAAGCACAAAGACACGCAAAGACGGCGAAGGAGGGTCGGCCCTGGATGCGGCGCATTGCGGTGTCTGTACTTACATGTCGGTAACTAGATGCGTACATGGCGCCGTCAGCACCCGTACGTCTCTAGGCCAGAAAAAACAAAACAAAAAGCAGGCTTTGGATGTGCAATCAGGGAAAGAATAGGGAGACGAAGCAGTTAATGCACCGAGACGGGCTTTTTGGGGGTCAGCTCGAGCGGTGCAGCAGAATGGGATTGCTCTTACGATGGGCTTCGGCGGCTATTCGCCCCCATTGTTGCAGTAACGTTTCTTGAGGCGTAGTGCGCGCGCTGAGCATAAATTGTCATTTAACTTATTATAGACGACGCATCGACTCAGGCCCGTAACAGGCAATTGTGCGTACTTGGTCCCCCATAGCCGCATGACCGGGCATTTGCGGATGGCGGACAGGGCTGACGGGGGCAGGCATGATGGAGATGGGCCGAAGACGATGCGGCCACGCCCCTGAGGTCAGATGTTTGTGTTCGGTGTCATGGTTCCGCAGAGGGCGCTCGCAGGAGTAAGTAAGATGCAACGTCCCAGGGCCGATCAGCAGCGATTGGACCAGGCCGCCCATGACGCTGCTCCCGAGGGGCATTGCCGTGACGAGCATCGCGTGGCCGATCTCGAGTGCGGTACATGGCGGTTGGTGGGATGCGGGCGTGCATCGGCCAGTCGCCGTACGCGACGTTGGGAGCGAGTGTTTTTCTGCTCTCACCGGCAGCGGCGGCCAATGGCGGAGCAGAGGGCGGGGCGGCGGAGTGGTGCAACTGCTCAAACGGTCGACTAGCGGCGGTGAATTGGACTCGAGGGCAGGGCGCACACACGCACACACGCACACACCACACACAGCACGCGGCAAAACTGTGGGAGAATGGGTCAGTGACACGTCCGATAGGGCCGCGACGGGTGCGAGCTGTGATCTGAGGGCGAGGATTGTGAGTACAGGCTGCAGGGGCGAAATGAAGGTCGCATGGTGCATTGCTATAGCAGGGCCGGGGCCAGCATGCTATGGTGCTGGGTGCTGGGATGCTTACTACTGCTACTGCGTACAGCGGCCATGGGAGTAAGGGAAGTACCGTGGGGTCGCGACTGCCCATCTTGAAGGATTTAGCCGAGCGACAGGGGGGGAGGGGAGGGGGCAGGCACGACCCATGACGGCAGGCAGACAGGCAGACAGGCAGACAGGCAGGCAGGCAGGCTAGACGTGTGTGTAGTAATGTTAGTAGA